GCCTTCCTCTCGCATCCACCGGAGAAAGCGGCCACGACACGACCCTCCCGCGGCCGGACAACACTCCGTTCCCCTCCCCCTGCTCTTTGTCCCTTTCCGTCCGGTCCGTATTTTATAAACGCCATAGATGGGAATTTCGCAGCTATGCGAAATAAGCCCCAAGCGCATCGCTCGAGAGTCGCGCGCAACGCCAATTAGTTGCATTCACGCCTCGCTTTCTGCGGCGCAGGTGCGGCAGGGGTGTGATTTCGCGATCTCGGTAATCACGATTCCGTCCGCGATCCGCAATGTCGATCGACGATAGAAGAAAGCGAGAAGAAGAGGCAGGGAAGGAAGGAAAGAGAGAGAGAGAGAGAGAGAGAGAGAGAGAGAGAGAGAGAGAGAAAAGGAGAAGAGCATGCGCGTGGTCCGCGCCTATTTACCGATGCACCACGAAATCTGCATAATAATATTATAATTCACACACAGAGCGATCTCTCTCTTCTTTCTCTCTCGCCCTCAACCGACCACGCATGCCGGCCGAGCGTGCGTGAATGGCGATGCGTGTTCAACGGAAACATACGTCTCGCGATGGTGCGTCCGCGCGGCGTGGTATTAATTTTATTTATGGCGGATGTTGCAACAAAGTTATAATTCCGATAAGATGAACGCGAGTTACGACGCGAGAAAGAGGGCTGCGCTTCGTAATCCGCGCGCGGATCGCTCGGGGCCAACTGGAATTACGATCGACGCAATGCGAGATTCTGTGCGTCGAGAAGAGCGGACGTGCGTTGTGCCGATTTTATTCGACTCTTGAGGATCCCGACGAAAACGCACACGTCGCCGTGTCTTACCGCGACTGCCGGTGATTTCGAAACAGCTAACGCGACCGATTTTTGCCGGCCACTCTGCACTCTCCGCGCCGAGTCGCTCGCATAAATTCATAACATGGCATAATAGATAATAACTCTCGAATTCCACCGACACCGTTTACCCTCTTTAGAGCTTAAATCGATTTTCGGACAGCCAGTAATTACGCTATCAACCTAATCAAATGCGCGCGTAAATATTCCGCGGGCTTGCAGGACGCGAGCGCGCGCTCTGAGCCGCAAATTGGATGCACATATTTTACGAGGAGCGCGAGTGATTTAATACCGGCGGAATATACCGGTAGTTAGGCACGAAATTGCGACAGGCCATATCCCCCTCTTTACTCTTCGTCAACATCGACGGCGTGCAAAAACACGGCGAGAAAAGTGCTCGTCACATTCCGGGCGTGACGCGACACGCGAAGCTGTATTTAAGTTGGTGCCTAACGTATCTATGATGACGACGATGTTCGTGTCTTGTGAGACGTTTTCCGGCCTAGGACTACACTAGGAGATACACACGAAGGTGGAGGTAAGTGATATCGATCAACACACATAACGAACTTTTCACTCGACAAGACCATTGATAAAGGAGATTTTCAAATTGAACTTTTTGGTCATTCAAAATAGTACTCTTGATAATCGTTATGCTTCATTTTTCTCAGAACATGCAGAAAAAACTGATTAACACGACCTGGATAGATATATCGAGCACAAACTCCTAGATAATATCGATTTCTACGGCTTCTGATTATTTTATAAATTTATCATCAGAAGTGTATGATTTTATACACGTTACTTATCGAAATTATTATGTTTTGTAAAAATATTGTATAAAATAATGTATTAAGAATGTACACAGCAATGAAATTCGATGAAAAGGTAAAGTTGTGTTATTATTTTAGGAGTTGCCGTGCTCGTCAATTATTTCCACTTGTAAGACATGTAAGTTTTACGTAAAAGATAAAAAATTTTCATCGAAAATGCCGTTGCTCGTTAGATTCGTGGAACATTGGTACACTGAGAAAAAAAATACTTGAAAATTTATTTATAGGATACAAAGTCTATTCACAAAAAAATTAAATTTTCAAGTATTTTTTCTCAATGTGCAACATTAATAATAAGTGTTTTCTCAATAACGACACGCGGCTTGCTGTTCCACGGATTTTAATGTCCCAATGCGCTATCGACACGCTATCCCTTAATTACGTGGCGTATTATTTGAATCTGCAGACTCTTATTTCCCGAAACTTTTTTCAATTTCCGCATACGGATAACGGATATCCCCGTCATCTCGCGTAACATCTCGCGCACGTGCCCGCCGTTTGGCGCGGGCCGAATTTTCCGCGACGTGTCGATAGATACGCCCGGCGTCGTGCGTGACTCGCGTGCACTCGTCGTTCGCCACACGCGACCGACCGCCGGGAGTGGCTCGCGGGCGCGCCCTGTGCATCGCGCGTTGCACCCCGCCTGTGGCCGGGCACATCTCCCTCTGTGTCGGTGCACTCGGAACGCGAGATCAGCAAATCTAAGATCGTGCAACTGGTGTCCAGTGGCGTGTCCGCGGCGTACGTTGGCTGGCGTTCGCCAACGCGGGCGCGCGAGCGAGCGAGATAGCGAGTGCGCTGGCCGAACGCAAAGAAGAACGAAGAGTGAAAGATGAAGGAACCCAAGGAAGAAGAAGAAGAGAAGGAGGAGGAGGAGGAGGAGGAGAAGGA